AAATGTCTGCCTATTGTATGTCATTAAATTAGTTGCCATTCATATTCCATGAAATGCCTGCCATTTTATATGTCTAATATTTGCATAACCACAAAATTCAAGATTTTAACTTTTATGTGTTCACTATTACAACATCATGCATTTCTTTTTTATCAAGAATTCGTTGAAATCATGAATTTTGTAAAATTGATATTGGGAAATTCTAAATGTAAAATCGTGAAGTTAATTTTATGAAGGTGAAATAATAAATTCGTGTTATTGAAATCGTGAATTCGTGAAGTTGAGACCGTAAATTCAAGAAGCAAATAATTAAACTGTTATGTATGATATTCAGATAAAACAATGCAATTAGAATATAAAACTCAAATACTAAAACTCCGGATAGTTATATTTATTCATCCCAAAGAGCATGATCATCAACACAATAAAATTTATACATTTTCTTACATAACAATAATTGTAAACATTATATTATGATATATCATATCATCAAAACGTCAACTGAAGCCATGAAACTGATGTTAACTTAATCTTTTCTACTTTCTTGTTATTAATCCTGAACCTGCTTAACTTGTGAAAAGGATTTACCTTTTTTAAGTTAGGTACAGTCCATTTGAAGTGTATAAGATTTCAATATAAGAATAGGAAAAAAGCTCGTCAGATGCTTGAATGTACATGTTGGCTTGGGTGCAAACTGGTGGCAAAGGCTAATCACTTTCTGGTCAGGCAGGACGTAGTGATAAAGCATCACTAATATTTGAACAAAAACAATTTCGACAAATTGATATCTACAAAATCATGTATGATTGTTAAGTTAACATTATGAGATTATTAAACAAATAATATATAACTGTGGTACAGAAAATAACCTCTTTACATTTAAGCAGGGTCTTCAATATTTAAAAGACCATAATTTAAGCCGTGCTAAATAAAATTTTTTAGAAAGGGTGATCCTTAATCACAAAAAAATTACATTAACATTGCAGACACCTGTACATGAAAAAAAATCAATGTGCCCATCAATTGATAAATTTCACATTTAATGCACGTGTGCCGAAAATAAAATAAAATTGAAATAATCAATATTGAATTGTTAACTTCTGATGTTTGCGATGTTAAATCTGTCTGTCAAAGCAAACAATGACTACATTTAAACGGTTTTGATAAGCACACTTTTTGCAAGAATATTGTTTCATTTGAATATCGTTTTTGTTATGAACAGCTACATTGGTGCAAGAACAAATATAATTCCATGATCCATTCATCATATGTAACGGATAAATTATCGTTTCATTCTTTAATAACTTTGTGTATAAAATGTGTAAATCTTCTATGTGAAACAGTAGATTGTGTTTCTAACATGATATTTTGAATATCTGCATTTTCTTGTCTCCAGGACAGCTATTTGTAACAACAAGAAATGATTTATCACGTGAGACACATACTTTACAAGGATACTCCATATCTATCTTGTATGATGATAAGATCTGACCTATTTGTGATATCTGTACAATGGTGTTTGTTTTACGACAACACACCAGGATAGTATCAGAAGGTCCAACTGCTGCACCACATGGTTCCTGTATCTGATCATCCTTCACTACGACTCTCGTGTCTGTCTTGATATCATATATGTAGACAGTATGCTCGTCTCTATCTGTTAACACCACTTTGCCGCTGCTCTTTATGTAAGTACTAGCGCTAGTGCCTATAGGATATGCCTTGTTTGGAAAGTTTACACTAAAATCATGCTCCTCTCCTGTCAATGATACAATACGGACAGGTTTTGGTTCATCATAAGTCCCTACTACAAACTGTCTATCATCTCTCAAACATAAAGAGTAATAATTTGTTTTCACGTTACATGCCCTACTTGAACTTATTTCATTACATTTACTAACATGTAGAAATTCTATTTTACCAATTGTAATCGCTACTTCCTCCTCAGATACTACAGCAACAGATAATGGTTTGTCCGATAGCTGATATGATCCTACTTTCTCAAGCTTCTCATTGTACACAAAACATTTCTCGTTATTGTTATTCACAGCCACCAGTCTACCATTAGGTAGAAAATCTATACCTGTATAGAACGGTTCATCGATATCATCTCCCGTCTTTTTCAAAACAATAGCAGAAACTGTCGTTAGCTTCATCGCCATGTTTTCACAATTAACATCTCCCTGTCGATTAAACTTTAATTGCAATTGTCCTGGAACATATTCAGTAACTGGTAATGGTGGCAGTTTTAATGTTGGGTCAAAATGAAAAGAAATGTTCACCTTCTCTAAATTTTGACATTCCTCCTTGATGTTTCTGCAAAGAGCATTCACGTCCTTGAACAGAGGGAAAAGTATCATTAAATTTATTCCATTTGTATACGAATTTTCGACAACCCTATTAATCAATATTGATGTAAACACATAAAGAAAGGAATATCAAATTCTAGCTGAAAGAAATATTAGTTTTTGGGGAAAACAAGTAAGAACGAAACAGTATCTCAATTTGTAAAATACATAAATAACTTTTACAGAAAATTGTGTAAACTTTAAGGGAAATATGTAACCTCAATGATAGATATACAATATCAATGCTATGAACCCATTAACGTCTAAATGAATTGAAAGGAGTTACCCAGCTTTAAATTTTGAAACGTTCTTTTAGTAAATTACGGGTTTTGAAAATTTCTGCCATGTTATTAACGCCTGATAGTTGCATTGTCCCTTTTAAACAGATTTTAATTGTGCATTAATAATAATGATTATATAAGAATTATTAATAACGATATACGATACACTTAAGTGTAATTCGGAACCAAAAGTCTTATACACCGACTGGCTGTAGAGATTAAATAACGGGACATGACAGACTCTTACTGATATATACATGATAGTAAGCTTGCATTTTTATGTCGGCTGTCCTATCCACTATGCCTATAGGAAGATGTAGATTCCGAGATAACTATAAAGTAGTTCCAGAACGTTTACATAATATTTTTAAGACGGCGATCTTCACCTTTGTCTCTCATGGCAATACCTTTACGGTCTAAAGTGGGCCCTATTTCAGTTGGTATATAATCTTTTCTTTAAATAAGTGACATTTGCTAGCAACTCAAGGTTAGAAAATAATGGTTTAGAACTACTTCTTTAATCTTTATAATAAAACTACTAATATGAAAATAGAACCATTTTATACTAAAATATAAAAGTATCCTCATTTATTTGATGTTAATATGACGGATGTAGCAATCAGATGAATGTTAATTTCTATCCGTTTGGACCTGCGAATTTTTTCTACGAACGAAAGAGCGCAAATAACGACATTATGATGTTGACAGTACGATGGACTATCATCATCGAAAATGTCGTGCTTTGCCATGCTACTGTCTCCATCGTACTGTCACAATGGTACTGTCGTATTGTTACAACCTTACTATCACAATGGTACTGTCGTATTGTCACCATCGTTTTGTTACCATCGTACTGTCGAATGGTCACGAAGATGGCAACCGTGCCATGGCGACAATGCGACAGTACGAATCACTTGCCTCTCACTGTTGTATGTCCGTGCCGCGCCAGTGTCTTCGGATTCTTTCATATGAGCTAGGTAATGGAACGGCGATGGTTCTACCCGGGTGCCCGTTTGTGCCTGAAATAATGTACACAGGGGCATATGAGGACTTTCTTCACCAGTAAAAACTGAAAGGCGCCATATACTGTGTTGGTTCAACGTAAAACACAACAAATCATGTAAGTATAATGCACATACCCTATTAATATGTTCAAATTATTGACCGATTAAAAGAATTTACACCTGTCCTCAAAACACGCGAAATAGACAGGGACTTTCACGTTTAGACTTTAAAGCCTATGCACCAGGTCACTGCGGGTTCGACACAGTCCTTGTTAGATTGGCATCAACATGATGTAACAATCACATACTCATAGCAGTACTAAACACATGAATCTTGGTAAGCATTAAAGGAATAAACAGATATTAAACGCATGGAAATATCACTATCAAACGCATGTGCATATCACAATTGAACTCATGTGCGTATCAGAATTTTAGACATGTACATAACAAAATTGAGTGCATGTACACGTTCGTATAAAAGTATTCTACACATTCGATCAAGAATTCATGAAGTTGAAATTATTAGTACATAAGTTTGAATTTGAAATTTAAATTGTACATTGTGGCGATGTAAACGAGTGGTTATCACATCAGACTAGAAATCTAAGGTTTCCTTACAGCGTGGGTTTAAATTCCGTCAGGGACAAGCTGTTGTTTCTATTAGCAACTTTACACCATTACTTAGTACTAGTTTGTTCCAGGAACGGATCCGAGTATGTTTCAATAAGCTATTTACTTCCAACACATCGAAATAAAATAAATGTGCAAATTTAACTAAACTAAAATGTAAATTCGTGAAGTGAAATCATGACTTTGTGTTGTTGAAATCATGACTTCGTGTTGTTAAAATAATGCATTGATGATCTTAAAATAAAGAATAAACGGAATTGTTAGTGAATTCACAAAGTTAAATTATTGAAGTTGAAATGATTTTATGTTGTTGAAATCATGAATCTAAGAATTTGAACTCATATTTTAACGGCATTGTAAGTGAATTCACAAAAATAAATTATTCTTATTGTTAAAAACGTGAATTCGTGAACTTGAAATAATAAATTCATGGAATTGATATCGTGAATTCACATTAGTTAAAATCAATTGAAGACAATTCACATAACTTGAACATTTACTTCGTTTCAAAGTATTCTGAACAGAAGAATAGATGTGATCGAATGATTGCTTTGAACTTTTACGTATTTAACAAGTATTTTAAAATATGCAGTAATATGAAAATTTGAACGTATATATATTCTTTATGTTTAAGTTTGGAATTTTTACAAGAGGATAGTGTATGATATTAAATAAAGCATTAATAAAAACAATATCAAACTCAAATACTATAACTCCGGATAGATATCTTTATTCATCTTGATTAACCATAAAGAGAGCATGATATTACATATAATTATGTTGAAATATAGAAAAAATATATACATTTTCAATACATTTTTCAGATTAGAAATACAGTTTAGACAAATTCATTAATTTGCCCAGCCCGCATATTAAGACAAGATTTACAATGACCCTCGAGTGGTCTTATAATTAAGATTAACTGTACTCCTATGTACCTCTATACTAGGATTTAGCATTAAAAATCAGAATGTAATCTTGTAAACTTAAGCAAAAATTGGTATAAATTTTATCTTATCAAATTTACTGTTATTTACCCTTCACCTTTTAAATTTATAAAATGGATTTGTCGTGTACAGTAAAGTCGAAGTGTAAGCAATTTAGATATCACAATAGATTAATTGAGCATTTAACAGGCCAGACTGTGTGGAAGTGCAAGCTAGCTGGGTTTTAAACAGGTGACAAAGGCTAAACACTGTCGGTGAAGCAATATTTTAGAGTTAAACTGAAAGATATTAAAAATAATGTAACGTCAATATATCACTACATACTGTGATTAATCAAATTTAGCGAAATAACAAAACAATTAGAATATCGAAAGATTGATATTTGCAGACATACAAATGTATAATTATACATTCAATATAATGTGCAGATTATAGATGAATAAGATATATAATACAGAACATGAGTTTATTTACATATATGCCTTTCCAATCTCTCAATTAATTGGAAATATTCAAATTGACGTGCGTGCGCCCAAAATGAAATAAAAAATAAAAATCAATGAAATGATTAATAATTGTTCACTCCTCAGATGTTAACGATGCTAAATTTGTCTGTCATAGCATACACTGACTGCATTTTGAATTTTCTTATTCTACACTTTCTTAACACATTTGTTTGCACGACAATATGATATTTTGAATTTCTGCATTTTCTTTTTTCCTTCACCGCAATTTGTAACAACAAGAAAGGATTTATCACATGAGACACATACTCTATGTGGATATTTCATTTTTATCGTGTATGATGATAAGATATGACCTGTTTGGGATATCTGTACAATAGAGTTTGTTTCACAACTACAAACCAGAATAGATTCAGAAGGACCAACTGCTACACCACATGGATCCTGTATCTGATCATCATTCACTACGACCCTCGTGTTTGACTTTATATCATATATGTAGACATTTTGCTCGACTCTATCTGTAATCACTACGTTGTCACTGCCTTTTATGTAAGTACTAGCGCTAGTGCCTATAGGATATGTCTTGTTTGGAAAGTTAATTCTCAAATCTTGCTCCTCTCCAGTCAATGATACAATACGAACAGGTCTTGGATCATCATATGAACCTACTATAAACTGTCTATCATTTTTCAAACATATAGAGTAACATTTCGCTTTCACTTTACATGTCCTATTTGACCTTATTTCATTACATTTACTAACATGTAGAAATTCTATATTGTATCCTTTACCGCGTGTAATCGCTACTTCCTCTTCAGATACTACAACAACAGATAATGGATAGTAAGATAGCTGATATGATCCTACTTTCTCAAGCTTCTCATTGTACACTAAACATTTCTTGTTATTGTTATCCACAGCCACCAGTCTACCATCAGGTAGACAATCAATACCTGTATAGAACGGTTCATTGACATCATTTCCCGTCTTCTTCAAATTAATAGAATAAACTGGTTTTAAAGTCTTCGCCTTGTCAACGGAACTATCATCTTCATGTCGATAGTACTTTAATTCCAGTTGTCCCGGAACATATTCAGAGATCGGTAATGGTGGCAGCTTTAATGTGTCGTCAAAGTGAAAAGAAATATTCACCTTCTCTAGGTTCTTACAGTCCTCGTTGACGTTTCTGCACAGAGCATTGACCTTACTCTTCATTTTCTGTTCTGCTATATATTTTTGCAATGGAGTTCCACTTTTGTAAATGTTTTCAATCGTCTCTATGCACGAAACTACATCAGCCAAATTAATTTCATTTTGTGCTTGCCTCTTTGTCAGATTGTCGAATGTTTCTTTCTGAAGAGTTTCAGCTCTTTTGGCGACCGAATCTTCTAGATCATCAAATATTCTCATTACTTCGTCTCGCATTGTTTTAATCACTGTAAGTATTTCTTTTATATCGTCAGCAAGTTGATCTTTTGAAGAGCGAATATGTCTTGCAACACTTTCAGCAGCTTCCTTAGCTTCCTTTAATTTCTCCCCTAAGGTAGAAATTGGTGAGGCCTTTTCCCAAGCGATCTTCTCAATTTCTACAACGCTGTGACATTTTCTGTGATAAACAAAAGCACAAGTACTGCAGCAGAGCTTCTTTTCATCTTCACAGAAGAATTCAAAAGAATGTTGGTGTTGATCACATAGACCTAATGCCTTCATTTTAAATGAAAGAGTTGCAGCATTAGCTTCTTTCAAGCTCACCAATTTATGGTTTGTCAATATGGCTAGCATGCTGTGAATATTTGAACAATCAATACATTGGAATTCATTACAAGTTGAACAAAACTTTTCAGCTACAGTTTTCTTATCCTTACTTAAACATGGTTGACAGAAATGTTCCTTCACACGACCAGAAACTTCATTATCTTCTCCTAATTTACTTCCATTTTCCGCCATTTTTGTATCCCTTTTTGAGAAATTACATATCATGTATTTAATTACATAGGTCAATATTCAGCTACACCGTTTAAGAGTTTCACAAACTTAGATAGTTCAATGAAAATCAAGGTTTAAAGCTGATTTAACTGATAAATTCATATCATGACGAAAACGTTATCTATCGGAATTTTACATTTCATTGCTGCAATCAACTGATCTCGTGTAACGCGGAAGTTAAATTTCCACGAAGTCTGTATTTTTAAAAATATGATATAATTGTGTTGAGAGAAAAGAGTAAGAACGAAAACTGTGATAGTATCTCAATTTGTAAAATAAATAACATTTACGGTAATTCATGGTTAAAGACGAAATGTAACTTCAATGATAAATATGCAATATCAATTTTATTGCCAGCTAAATGTATCGAACAAAATTATGCAGGTTTTTTAAATTTGGCGTAGTTCTTTTGACAATTAGCGGTTTTGAATTATCAAAAAGTAAAGAAATACCCACCAACAAATCTTAATTCACTACACTGATGTACCTTTGTAACATTAATTTTGACCCTGTTGAAGATTGATCTCTTTGGCCATTTTTCAACGGATTGAGATCAATTTCAACTGTGAAATTCGACCCCTTCACGTTATTTAATGACATTTCCTAGTGTAAAAAATACCCCTGTTGAAAACTGAACTAAAGACAAGCCATTCTTAAACATTGATAAGTGATCAAACTTATATTGCAAAACATGCCTGTATATGTATATGGTCAAACACGCGACACGGTAATATTTCTGTATTATTTTTAATTCTTTAGCGATGAATACGAGTATTTATTTAATATTGATTTATTTTATTTAAGTGGACCAGGAACTAAAACAATTTGCCTATCAATCAGCAATAACTGATAATGGTTGGCTATATGGTACTTATGTATTGAACTTTAATATTACATTGCGTGCAGATTAATGTAAATCTATGTTTTTCCGTTACATACGGGGTCGCCAGCTCAAGGTTATGTGACCGCCTTCTACTATTATTAATGTTTAAATGATATCACACAAATTAAATCCCATCTATCCCTCTTAGAATGAATAATGATAATTTAAGTATTAATAACAGCAATGTAATGTTTCAATGTCTTATTGGCGACGCCGGTGAGCGGCGTCGTCTTTTATGGAATACTTTTTATTTTGGCCTATGGAAGGAGCTGTTATTATTAGCAGTTAATTTCATGTTGTGTTAATTATATTTATTTTGATTCGTAAAAATCAAGTAAACAAATATGTTGTTATATTTGTATTTAATAACTTTATATAAAAAGCATGTGCATTGTGATATTATTTTCACGAAATTGCAGGCTCAGATTAACAGCTTGTCCCTTTGTTTTATTGACAATACTAAAACCCGGATTTCGAATATCGTTGTGGTCTACATTGATGCTCATTCATTTATATATTTTCAAAACTTTCCTACAAGAAGAAAGTTCACCTGCAAATGAGTATTAGGATAGGTAATGGACTGTTGTAAACGATTATCCTATTGATTTTATCCATATTACGTTTATCTGTTGAACAGAATAGTTGTTTTTACAAAGTGTACCAGTATCCGGATGTTGACAGCTATCCGATTTTCTGCAATTACTGCTGTCACATGGCCATCTACTTTTTTATGAATACTTTACCATTAATTTGCATGGCATAATTAAAATGAGCCTGCAACATTTATTAATTTTGATGTTTAGGGTGTTCTTTTGGGTTTCATGTTTTCTTTATTTCAAGGGGAAGTAACTCATGTTTACTAAATTATTTGTTCTTTTCTGTCTATCTTAGGTATTGATTACAATTTTTGTTTTATAAAATTTACCAGTTGTAAGGTCATCAAAAGCATAGAGGCCCTGATGAGTGAATATTGATATATATATACTTTTACTGGCTTTATATACCCAATATTTCATATTTATTTAATAGAAACTTGGAATTATTAATGTTATGTGCATACATTTATATCTTAGTATATTGGTATGATGAGACTTATTTCTGAATTTAAAGAGTTGCAGTTATGTCATTATTATTAAAGAGATGAGACTTTCATTTAAAGTTATAAATGATAATACATGTATTGATTGAAAATGTCCTGAAACTTGGATCAAGCAATATAATTGATAAAGCCTCAAAAAATCATGTTCTGAATAGTTATTCTAATTTTTTTCTAACATGTGCATAGTTTGAAAAGGACAGCTTCTGCCTTATCTATTTGTAATGGAGGGACACCGGTCTCAATCTCCAGGTCTCCTGAGTCAACCCGACAACAGACTTTTCATAGAGTAGATTGATACTTGTCCTTGAATAAATTTGTACACTAAATTTTATAGTGGGTGATTTGTGCCACATGAAAACCAACAAAGTACAAAAAGTAACCGGGCGCCAGATGAAAACATGAAAATACAATCTACCACAAAGTGGTTCGTTTGTTGCATTTTCATGTTTTTGCCCGGTGCCCTTGATGTAAAATACAAATCAGCCTTCATAAAATTTCTTATCATAGATATTGTACATGTATTAGCACAGTTTATATTCTCTTTCAAATTGACCTGTTATAAATAATGGCACAACAATAACTGTCTTAGCCCTTTTTAGTAAAAATAATTATACAATAATAATTATATAAATTGTTATTTTAATTAAGACTATGAGTATGTAAGGTTTTTTTTTTTCTTATTTATTAATTAATTAAGAATTAATTATCTGTTAATTTAAAAATCTAAATATCTGTCACGGTTTAGAACTGTTCACTATTTAGGGGAGAAAATGTGTAAGCGACCAGATAGCTCAATCGCTACAGCCGCGGTACATTATTCTGTGGGTCACAGGTTTGAGTTCTGGTCAAGCTGAAAGTTTTTCTCATCCTGTGACTGCAAATAACCATGAGTTTAATTCACTATGCTCTGTAAACATCAGAAATTCAAGTAGATGAATCAATATAGTGGGGAAAAAGGTTTAGGTTTAGAACTGTTTCATTATTAAAGAGAAAATGTGTAGCCGGCCGGATAGCTCAGTTGGTCTTCTGAAAGTCATGGGTTCGAGTCATGATCAGGCAGTTTCAGTCAGGGTATAGAAGTGGTTTTTCAACTGACACATGTTTGATTCATTTAATAGATTGCATTTAATTTGAAATGGACAAAGGCAGTTTTGCTTGATACTTTTAAATCTACAAAAAGCATTTGGTACAGTTGATCACACTAAACTGCACATGAAGAAGTTCTTTTTTCTTCTTCTTCATCTCTTCAAGCATCTGCCATATGTAATGACATTCTTGCATGGTTCAAGTCTTATCTATGATAGCAGCTGGTGAATGTGGCTGGTACTCCTTCTCTCTGAATACCTATGGTGTCCCCCTGATGTTCATTTTAGGTCCTCTTTTATGTTAATAGTATATTTTTAAAGGGGGTCATTATTTACATTTTTTTTTTGGTTTTTGACACTTTTAAGATGAACACAGATTTTTTATTAATCTGGTCATATTTTTTCTTCCCAGGTGTGATACTTGTGCCTGTCATTATATGATGATGACTCAGGTATCCTTGTATCTGGTAAAGTAAATCTTAAGATTGGTTTATTGACTATAAATTGTCTTTGCATCTTGGCAAGACAGAGTCTATTCTTTTTGGTTTAAGTTTCAACATAAACTGGGCCAAGCCTCCAGGTCACATGAAATGGTACTGCTATAAAGTACACATCTTTTGTTAAGTATTTAGGTGCAAACCTGGATCAAATTCTTTTGGCGTCGCCCTTTGATGCTTTGCATCAATGCTTTTCTTGTGAACAGTTTGTAGTACAGAGCATTCTTGTAGATATTCGTTGGTACAAATCAGGGGAAGTAACCACTGTGTAGTATATTACCAAACGGCGAGTAGTAAGGTGCAAGAAGGATTGTGTAGCAGACGTAATATATTTACTGGCATGAGAAAAGAAACTGTTGACTTAATAGATGTATGTATGGTTAACAAGAAAACATGCCATACATTAAAGCGCACACGTTTTATTATCTAAAGCGTATCTTGGGTCTATAGTGCGTAATGTGAAACTATTGGTTTAAATGCACAGGAAGATATTTATCTATTCATGAATATAGACCAATTTATTTATACACACCATAATGTTAATTAAAATGTTTCTTAAAACTATGGCTAGCTATAACTATTTTATTGCATTTCAACAGTTGATTATATCAGTTCGTAAATGGACTATTATTATGGGACATAAATTGTTTGAAAAGATGTTTCTTCTTTTGAAGTATCGATGGGCATGTCGGACTTTGACAAGAAAGATCCATCTGTTGGTAATCATTGTCTTAAACATTCGTGAACAATATACATAATATTATCTTGCCTTTTTCGCCGAAGTAGTTTGTGTAGGCCCAGACTTGGCCACGTTAATAGTTTAGAGATTTATACACTGTAGTTTATCTCTCGAATAAAATAAGCGTTCGTTATTTCTTTTAATCACAGAATAACACATATTTATGTACATAATAAGCACTTTAATAAATCAAAGAAATCTCGCTCACAATTACATGCAAATAAAGAACAGAAAATCGCTAGGGCTATTATCTTTTAAATGTTATTACAAATTAATGCACATGGGTGTATGAAGATATCAAGATTGTGAACAATTCATACGGTTGAGGGTAAGCCGAAATCTTCCTGTGGACCTACATGGTGTATTGTAAAACAAAATCACGCAAAAGCAAAATCAATATGTGTCCATTATATAAAATAATTTGATATTTAACACGTTTACTTAGCAAATATCACAACTTGACACGTCAAATTAGTTTAATGTCAACTTCCTTCCAATGCATTAATGCCGATTTTTTCAACCTATAATAAAAAATATCATACGACTGCAGATTCAGAGAATGATTTCATACATTTTGAGACTAACATGAGGCGACAAACCATTATAGAAATAAAATGGATTAGATATTAAGATGTCATTTTTTTTCATTTTGCTTTTTGTTTTTGTTAAATCCGAGAACTCTAGCTGTTTTGGTCTTGCTCTTACCGTGGCCAAGACCTAGCTTATTGCTTGGGAGGAATATAAGATTGATTTTTACGATTGA